GACTGCTCTGGTCAACTCCTGCATGAAGGATTTCGAAGTCCAACCAAAGGATTTGAAACCTAAGTGGGGGTAAATAGGAAATCGTGAAGGATTTCGGTCATGAAAGCGAAGAAACTAAGGTCAAGTTTAAATGTGATACACGTCTGTGTGAAGACGCAGACCCGGGTGAACCCCAAACGCCGTTAGTTGCCTGGCCAGACGTCCGCGCCATGTGAGCACGTGACACCCCCCCCCCCCCCCAGGCCTGTAGCCAGTGGTGCAACGTGAGCAGCAACCTTGACTGCGAAAGCTACTTCGGGCCCAGGCTGCTTTTTAACTGGTCTTTTACCGGCCGGAATATTTATTACGTCAGATCAAGGGTACTTATTTTGCCCAGCAATTAGAATAAGATAGACGCTGGCAAAATCTGTCTAAAAAGACTCTTCCCCCTAAGTTTTCTCCCTTAAAATTTAAGGTTGCTCAATTTTACTAAAATGGAAAAAAAGAGACAATTTGTTTTTTCCATTATAGACAGCCCAGTGATCGCTCTATCAGTAGTACTCTAAAAAATGCCAACTCCGGATTTGTGAAGTAGTTTTCCTGGTAACTTATTAAAATCAAGAATAATTCGCTCGTTGAGTTGCTTTGTTCTACAAAATTTAAAAAAAATTTTTTTTGAAAAGAGAGATTGAGAGAATCAACATTCTCCATGTCTTTCGGTTTTGCTTGTTTTGCTTACCTGTGCCCTCAGGCAATAGTCACCATGCATGGGCACGCGTGCTCTCTCTCTCTCTCTCTCTCTCTCTCTCGTTTGTCAGGGATGGTGTTTTACTTTTAATCCCTCATTCCAAAACGACGGCATAATCCATACCATTAACACTAGAGATAGGCCACTTCTCCAGCCTTAATTTTTTTTTAATGATTTTTTTTTTTAAGATTTTATTTATTTATTCATGAGAGACAGAGAGAGAGAGGCAGAGGGAGAAGCAGGCTCCCAAGGAGCAGGGAGCCCGATGCAGGACTCGATCCCAGGACCCTGGGATCATGACCTGAGCTGAAGGCAGCCGCTTAACCGACTGAGCCACCCAGGCGCCCAGCCTTAATTTGTTAAGACAAGAAGACAAAAAGTGTTCGCTTTCATACTTGCGGAGATTCAAACAGCAAGACGGCATCCCTTTTTCAACCCCCGCTCTTCCTCCTGGTTCTGCCACTGGTGTCAGCTCTGCTGTTCCAAGTCTGTCATTCTTACTGGCTTTTCGGGCCACCAAAGGACAACAGGACACCCAGAATGCCATTCTCCGCCCCCGCCTGAGAGCCAGTAGTCACAAGCCTGTGCTCTGTTCCACACACTGGTCGCCTCCAGGTGAAATTTAAAATAGAATGGATGGGGACCCAGTTATGTAAAAAGTCACCTCTGGTCTTCTGTTCTATCACGGGAGTTAAGACCAGCTGGGGTGCTTCTGGTATCAGTTTCCAGTACGTAAGTCTCTGTGATCTGCAGCAGAAATTCTTACAACAGGGCCCTTAGAAGTCTCGTTCTCTGATGGATTGCCAGAGGCAGAGTCCAAGGCATATCTGTGCGGGCAGACTTTTTGCTGAGTTTCCCAGGGACGGAGAGAAAACTACCAGAAAGAACAGACTCCTCTGGGTTCGACAACTAATAATCTACAACTGTCCTGAGTGGGCAGTTGGATTTATTGCCAGCCAACTACTTATCAGTTGGCCCAGCTGGTCAAAGATGACTCTGGTCACGACAGATTCAGTCCCTCGAGAGAGCTCTTTTGAGTGAGTGAATGTGCTTGAGATCTGGCTTTCCCCCTCCTAAATATCCTTTTCTGGAATACAGCTCAAAACTCCTTACCCCTGCTAGGAAAACAGGTTCAAATACACATTCTCCTTGTGGAATCAAGAAGCTATAGATGCTCCAGGAACCTGTGCATACTTGGAGTCCCATGGTGCTTTTCTTAGCATTGATCAGATTCTCGTAGCTGGAATCAGATCATGAGATGACATAGTACCAGGTGGTATTTACGAAGGATGAATGGTATCATCTTTGCAACATTTTATAGATACGGGTACCGGAAGCTTGGAAACCTTGCAGAACATAGTAAACCATCAGGTCATATTCTATTGGCCAGGTAATATTTTGTCCTCCCTTCAAATTACAAAATTGAAAATAATAAATAGGAAACAGGCTCCTGCTTGCTACTTAAAAAATTACCAATTTGAAATGTGCAGTTATGTATACGTTCAGATTTGACCCACCATTTACATTATTTCTCTCTAAATAGTATAAACCTCACTCATGATAGTAGAGATGAACCACTTTATATTGGAGATATAGATTAGATTATGAAAGAACACCCCACTTTCCTGTTCCAGAATAAATAAAATATCTGTAACTTCCTTTATCCTTAAAATAAAATTTCATATGACCTGACCAGATTATAATGTATTTTGAAGTTCAACCATTTAAAAAGATTTCTGCAATTAAAAGAATTCATTTTCACTGAAAACCAGAAGCAAAATTAGAACTGAAAATGCAAGATGGGGGCCAAAAAACTCTAGCCTGTGACACCCTGGAAACTGGGCCATCACTCAGGTAGACATGCCCTTGTCGATGACTAAGGTTTTTTCCTCATGGGAGGGTAAATCCACTAGCAAATGCAGTCACCTCCCCCCATTACCACACACACACACACACACACCGCCTCCCTCCCTCCAGCCCTCCTGGAACTGTAGTAGGAGATTGAGATCTCAAAAAGAATTTATTGTCATCTTAAAGGTGAGAAAACTGAAGCTCAATGGTGATATTAATTGCCTAAGATTATAACTGATTGACCGGCGGGCACCTCAACCACCCAACTCACCCATTGCCGCCCTCGGGGCTCCTCCCAGCCCACAGAAACCAGATAGGGAAGAAGGGGAAAAGGGCAGGAAGTCCATGGAGAATGACATCTGCCTCAATGAGACCCACTTCATGGAGACCCACTGTGGGGTTTGTTTATCTTCAGAGAACAGAACAACTCTTTTGATGGAGATATCGGTGAACTGTGATGTAAAGAACCACGGGACACAAAAGAGAAATTTAGATCCTGAGGCCCAGTGATGTGGGGTTTAATCAGGAAAAAAAAAAAAAAAAAAGATTGTGAATCAGGTTATGCAGCAGTATTTTGTGGTGGAAAGAACAAGGCCTCTAAAATAAGAGTGAATTTTGACTCTACTACTTACTAGCTGAGTGACCTTGAGCAAGTGTTCAACCTCTCCAAATTCATTTTTTTTATCTATGAAATGAGTACCAATGGGGGGGGGGGAGTTGAAATTTTGTGTGGAGAGAGAGAGAAAGAGATGAAATGCTGGAGGCATTTACGAGGCTCTCAGTGCATGAGGGTTCACAATGCCTGGCAGGAAAAAAAAGGCACTCAAATGTCTGTTCATTGAATGAAAAGTGTATTTCTTCAACTCTATCAACTCCTAGAAATAAGTATCCTTGGCTTTAGAGGTATGGACACAATAATCCCTAAGTATTAATGTTCTCCCCTCCCCCATCCCCCTGAAAAGGAAGTCACTTGTCTTGTTTCATCATTTAGCCCATTTAGGTATGTGCCCAGGGCGTTCCTCATCATGTTAGTCCACTCAATAAATTATGTTCAAAACCAAGATTTCATGCACTGGGCCCAACAGCGGGGATACAGCAGAGAGTGCTCCATGATCCCCCCTGGAGAGGCTCACAGAATAAGTGAGCTTGGATGAAGGCTCTGATTTTGAGAGAGGCCACTAGCCATTAGCCAAAATATTTCTGGATCAGTAACTACACCCTATCATCAACTTGACTCTCTAAAAATTACAATGTGGCTTTAAGACCTGGTACACAGTGTTCACTCAACAAATATTTGTTGGATAAAAGAATGAATGGGGATGGGATGGGAACTTCAGTGAGCTTTTATTGCTCTGGGCTCATATGGGAGATATGCAGCAAATAAAATCCTTTATTTGAGGATAAAGCAAGCAAAGCCAATCTTTGATTTGACTAAGTCTGGATTCTGGCACCCACGAAGCTGGTATGTCTACCCTGAGAATTTACTACCATTTCAGAAGTCCTCTAGGGAGCCGGGGACACCTCTCAGAAACATTTCTTGCCACCGACGAGGTGAGGCAGGGCTTTCTGATACCACAGCTAAGCACACGCGGCTCACCTTCACGGTTCTCCCAGAGATCTTCTATCCTGAAAAACACTGGCTACCTAACCTTCCTAAACTGCCAGCCACCATGTCGTCTCTGGCTTCTGAACTCTGGCTCCAAAGAGTACCTCACTGGATCCTATACTCTCCTTCCCTGAAATCTCAAATTCTTTTGTTTTAGACTCGTCTCTGTGGTTGATTTGTGAACTTGAGAGAAGGGATATTGTCTGTGTAAGTTCCCCCCAGTACAGGGCACACTTAGGCAGTTAATAAGTAAGTTTTTTTAACATGACTTCAACGTGTAGCCCTGTCCAAGGTCTCCACGTGAGCCACCAGTATGGACTGGAGATAAGGGTAAGGACACAAGCCTCATCTCTTCGAAAGCTCTCCAGAAGCTCTCGCATGCATTCTTTCTCTGCCCTCCACCTTCTGACAATGCTCTCAAAGATTGCAGAAAATAAGACAAACCGGGAAAACGAAATCACGTAACACAATTTAAATATGGTAGATTAGATACTAGGCCAGAACCTTCTCTTTCGCTAAAAATAGCTGTCTATTTAAACGACGACGACCTCAAGCCTGACAGCATTTCACCAGTCTCAAGTCTCCTGACACCCTGGGACCTCAAGCAGAGTGTTGAAAGGTCAACTTGTTTGGTACCAACTCTGACTCAAAACGATTCCTCTCCGGTGAGGTGAAGGAGAGGAAAGGAACGGGGGCAGTGAGATTTTCCAGCCACTCCACCCAAATGCGAGGGGGGTGGGTGGAACTCAAACGTGTCCCATTCGACCCACGCCTTCCCCCAGGGTTGCGAAGACAGAAGCGGCCCCAGCAGTCTTCGGGTTGAATCAGTACCCCTCCCGCAGAGGCCGGCTCGCGGAAGACGGTGACAGGAGGAAAGGTCCAGAACACACCCGGGTCGGGGCGCGCCGTCCGGGAGCAGCGGGCCGGAGCGCCCCCCGCGGAGCCCGCTCGCAGCCAATGGGAGCCTGCGGTCCGGGGATGATGAGATGCGGGGCTGAGGCTGGGCCAATCAGGCTCCAGGCGCGGCCAGGGGGAGGAGATGGGAGGAGAGGCCGGGGGCGATGGAGGCAGAGCTACATCAACAGAAGTTTCTCACCTATTCCAGCGAGGGACGCTCCCGCACCTCCTGCACACCTCCGGCTCGTCGCAGGAGGAGGGCCCCGGGCTACTTTCTCCATCTCCTCCCAGCTCCCCGCAAGCCAGGGGAAGGCTGCCGGGAGCCCCCACCGCTGGCCTTCTTTTTATGTTGTCTGCAGGGAGAAAGAGGGCGAGGGACAACTTGGTGCGGGGGAACTGACCTCTGGCTTGGCGGGCCCCTGGGCAGGGAGGGCAGAAGAGGAGTGGCTGGGGCTGGAGGACTCCATGCGGGGGCCATGGACAGAGCGGCGCTCCTGGGACTGTCGCGCCTGTGCGCGCTGTGGGCAGCCCTGCTCGCGCTGTTCCCCTGCGGAGCCCAGGGAAATTGGATGTGAGTATGCGGGCAGCAGGGGCGCACGGGGGTTGCGGCAAAAGGGGTGCCCAGCCTCAGGGCACTTTCAGCTGGAGCCGGGGAGCAGGACCGGGGATCCTAGGGCGGATGACCCAATTTTCGGCGAAACCTCTGGGATTGGAGAGGAGAGCTGGGGAGCGGCTCACGCTAGGGGCGGCGGTGTCTTACAGGTGGTTGGGCGTCGCGTCCTTTGGGGTTCCGGAGAAGCTGGGCTGCGCCAACTTGCCGCTGAACAGCCGCCAGAAGGAGCTGTGCAAGAGGAAACCGTACCTGCTGCCGAGCATCGGAGAGGGCGCGCGGCTGGGCATTCAGGAGTGCCGGAGCCAGTTCCGGCACGAGAGGTGGAACTGCCTGGTCACCGCCGCCCCGCCGGGCACCAGCCCCCTGTTTGGCTACGAGCTGAGCAGCGGTAAGTCCCCGGACCCTCCGGCATGGCGCGGGATGCAGGGCGACAACTCCTGCAAGTACAGCCAATAAAGTAGCGCTTGCGTGGTCCGTCGCTCTCTAAATCCCAAAAGAGGTCCTTTAGCGGGCGAGAAGTGGGGGTGACGGAAGTCAGACCCGGGTGCAGGTGCGGCCCCGGAGGGGGGTGACTCCCCAGGTCCCGAGCGGGGCGCTAGGAGCTGTAGCTCTTCCTCCGTCCCGCAGCGCCCGGCGGGAGCTGCAGAAAAACTCTGACACTCCACCCCGCCGACCCCTCGGACCCCGTAGCGCCCCCCTACGTGGGTGACCAGCTGGAGAAACATGATGTCGGCAGCAGGGAATGCTGCCGCCGCGTCTGCTTTGATTTAAGCAACTCCGCTGCGCGCCGAGCCCTGGACAAGGGGCTAATTGCAGCGAAGCCGCACGTTTGCGGGCACCTCGCAGCGCGGGGTAGACAGAACTAATGGTGATTTTTAAAGGGAGTGGCCTGGCCAGCTCAACGTGCGGCTAACCCGAGCACGACTGCTTTGGCTCTGCCCTCTGTTCTCTTTTCCTTCCTTATCTTCCCTCCTCGGAGCACAGCCGCGGCGCGGGAAGCTGCAGTAAAAGTTCCACTTCCACGTGCCTAGTGACTCGGTGGGGATGAAGGCACAGGGACCCAGGATTGTTCTAGGCATATCAGCAGTTTCAGAGAATTTTGGAACCTGGGCGCCGAAAGATGCGTTGTTGTTTTTCACATTCATTTCCGTTCTCCCTCCTCCTTTGACCCTTCTCCACCCGGTCCCTACACACACCGCCGCCAAAGCATTGCGTTTGCCCCGCTGCGTTTTGGGCGGCACGCCCTTCCGAGGGAGCCCTGACCCCGCGGAAGACAAAAGAAGTGAAGAAGGAAGAAGGGGAAAAAGGAGGAGGAAGAAGGAGGAGAGAGAAGAAGGAGGAGGAGGAGGAGGAGAAAAAGGAGGGGGAGGAGGAGAAAAAGAAGAAGAAGAAAAGTTTCAGCTGCTGAAATGCAGAGACATCAGCTGTTGAAAAGGTTGATTGGACAACGGGCCTGCAACCGTACTCCAATCTTAACATCTCAAAAGAAAAAAGGTCACCTGCTGAGTCTCTTCTGTAGAAGTCCACTTTACTAATGTTTTAATGGGACTTTAATTTGCGAAGAGTTTAGCTCAAACTTTATTGCAGGTGTGCTAAATATATATTCAATAGTTTTCTATAACAATTCTTTTTCTTTTTCTGGTGACATTTCAGTTTTTCATTCTCTTTCAGCCTGTAAGAGGATTAGCTAGTACTATATAAGATATTTAACTGTTTCATATTAATATTTGTGATTGTTATTTATAATATCCTTTAAAAAGAAGACCAGTCTTTGATATGAAAGTAAACTGTAACATCTACTGATTGCTTTGGCCTTTGCTTAATTCTGATTTGCATTCCAACATGTATTATTTATACAAACAAGAATCACACCAAATATTTCAGCGTGTGTTTCATGAGAACACATTTGAAATTTAAAAAGAAAGGTCATCTGGACTCTTTGGGACATTGTACTACCATTTGCTGTATCCATGCAAGGGATTTTAAATTCAACACGTATTCTTTGAACTTGTCTATTAAGCACTGAGCTAGGTGCTGACATACATGTCAAATTTTAAAAACAAACAGCTGATTCGATACACAATATATAAAAATCCCCCCAAGTGAGATACTGAAAATTAATGCTGCTTTTGTGAAAGACTAAAACAATATGCAACTGTCCTTCCTGAGTATGTACTCATTCAAGCATCCATCGAAAGCAGTTGAAAAATCGCTTCCCTGCAAAGGGGATGAGCAGGAAGCTTTGTTATGAACATAAACAGACTCTTGCATTCAGCAATGTGTGTTTTGTTCTAGGCACCAAGGAAACAGCATTTATTTATGCTGTGATGGCTGCAGGCCTGGTGCATTCTGTGACCAGGTCCTGCAGTGCAGGCAACATGACCGAGTGCTCCTGCGACACCAGCTTGCAGAGCGGCGGCTCCGCCAGTGAAGGCTGGCACTGGGGGGGCTGCTCGGATGATGTCCAGTATGGCATGTGGTTCAGCAGGAAGTTCCTAGATCTCCCCGTCAGAAACAGCACAGGAAAAGAAAGCAAAGTACTGTTAGCAATGAATCTACACAACAACGAAGCCGGAAGGCAGGTATGTATGTATGTATTAGAAAATGGGATGAGGGGCGCCTCTGTGGCTCAGATGGTTAAGCGTCTGCCTTCGGCCCAGGTCATGATCCCAGGGTCCTGGGATCAGGCCCCACATCGGGCTCCTCGCTCAGCGGGGAGCTTGCTTCTCCCTCTCCCTTTCTCCCTGCTCATGTTCTCTCTCTGTCTCTCTCTCTCTCTGTGTCTCTTTGTCTCAAATGAATAAATAAAATCTTTAAAAAAAAAAGAAAATGGGATGAAATCTAGTGCCTTTAAGTAAAAAACAGTCGGATTACACTTCTGAATGAATCTGTCCCAATGATTTATTTTTTTTAACAGAAATCTTTTTTTTAAAAGATTTTATTTATTTATTTGACAGAAAGAGGCGCAGCGAGAGAGGTAACACAAGTAGGGGGAGCGGGAGAGGGAGAAGCAGGCCTCCCGCAGAGCAGGGAGCCCGATGTGGAGCTTGATGCGGGGCTCCATGCGGGGCTCCATGCGGGGCTCCATGCGGGGCTCTATCCCAGGACGCTGGGATCATGACCTGAGCCGAAGGCAGACGCTTAACGACTGAGCTACCCAGGTGCCCCTGTCCAAATGATTTAAAAAAACATACACTTGCAGTCTAAGAAATATATATGTCATACATATGTATTATATATGGGTTTATTATATATGAATAACTTCTACGTTGATTTCGTTTAAGTTCTCCATCTGATATGCGTTGAATCTTATTATAGAATGTATTGGTGATTTTGTACTTTGTACACCCAGAACACTAATTATGAAATAACAGATGTGCACATGCCTTTTGGGTCATTTTGTTCCATCACCTGAGCTGGTTAGTGACAGAGCCAGAATAAGATCTATAGTATCTGCCTTTCTAATGGGACTGAATCAAAGTCCATCTCAAATTTGAATTTTGATTTTTTTTAAATCTCTTTTTAGTGGGCAATGGTTCCTAAACATGTTATCTATATGTCCCTACGTTCTCTGGCAAACATTCTTGAATACATCCGGGAATACATAACTCTTAACTAACATTTTGGTAAAGCAAAGTTTTTTTTAAAGATAATTAGTTATTTTATTACAAAGTGATATAGATACCTTGTAAAAATGATAAATGCAGATAATTGTAAAGAAGCTCTAGCTATATTAAATGTATGGATATTTAAATATATATATTAAAGACTGGGGGGTAGACAAATTTGAAGAACCACCATCTAATTAACCTCTTTTATGAATTCTGGTTTTTCATACTAAGCTTTCTTAAAATAGAATAAATCTGTAGCTTAATTTACCTTTTAATATTTATTTTAATGAATATTGACACAATAAAGTTTGAGCTCTATAGCATAGCTGAATTACTTGGCGAGTCATAGTGATTTTCCTAAAACAGTCAAAACTTTTTTGTGAATATACATTTCCTGTGTTGTAATAATCTTTTCAGGACAGGAATATCAGCACATGTCCTATATTATTGTAAATATCCAATAACCTGTAAGAGTCCCAAAGTAGTCATTGCAATCTGCCACAATCTCCTGAAATAAATTAAAACAAGTTGCAGTATCTGTCAGGAATATTTAAAATATATGTTGCCTTTGTTTTACATTTTTGGAAAGTGAATAAATGGAACCCACTTAGAATAGGTGCAAGTGGCAGCCAGCTTTCTCTGCTTAACCACACTGGTTTATAATACAAAACCAGAAAACTCAGTAAATGTTATTTTCACCATAACACTTCAAATTCCAATTTGAACTTTCAATTCAATTTGAATATTGATTTAAAATAGCAAAATAGAAAGTAGGAAAGGCAGTAAATAGCAAGGTAGGCTTTTCATATTTTTGTTTAGAAATTTTAAAATTCCATTGATCACACTAAAGTAACTCTTGTTTAACACCATAGTTATGCACATGTCTCTTCTCCTTAAAGTTTTGCATGTAAAAAAAATTCAACGAATGGGGTTCTGCTTCAATTTAAATATTATCCAATAAAGAATTTTTAAAATTATTTCTAACATATAAAAGAGGGTTAAATAGATGTTTACATTTTTAAATATATGTTCTTTAAAATTCTGGAGTTAAAAAGAAAAACACTAAAATAAGTCAAATTAATATATTTTAAAAAACTAAATGAATATTGATTACCAGTTTAGATCTCTTAACTCTTCTTTAGCCGTTCTTTAAATAATTTCGTAGAGGTTTTTACAAATTTAACTAGAAAACAGAACTTGGAAATTCATGTCATAATTAGTTCCCTTGAATCAAGGTTATCCCCAAACTTGTGAGAAGCTCCGAAGTATTCTAACTGTATTTTTATTAGTGTCATTGGGCCGCTAGTTAGTTTTACTCTGTCTTGTGTGTTGTTTCAAATTAGGTAGCAATAGCTGCCTCTGTAACTATTTGATCTTAAACTATTATTTATATTCTGAGTTTATTAAAAACATACAACTGTTTAGCATCAATTTTAATCCACTGTGTTTGTTGGCAAAAAAACCATCTTCTCACATTACCAGGGTTTCTGCCATTATTCTAATTATGCAGAAAACAATTCAGCCTATACATATATATACAGTTTGTGTAAATTTCAGAGTTCTCTCTACGGAATCTTTTTGTTCCTCATTGGTCTAGATGGAATCTTAAAATATTACAGAATATTACCTGGACTGGTGTTTTTGTTGGTCTTTTTTTCAGGAAATATTACAACTCAAACATTTTTGTATTTTTCTTTCCACTGGTGGCCAAAAAAAAAAAAAAAAAAAAAAAACCACCACCACCAGCACCACAGCAACAACAAAAACCAACCAAGTTTGCAGGCTATTATCTAACATGGAAGAACAACCAACTCCATTTTTAAGATTGGCAATCAGGATTTTAATCTAATAGGCATATTCTTCTGGGTAAAGTTCAAGGTCTGCATTCAATTGAATTGATTTTCCTGGTCTCAAAATCCCAAACTCAAAATGTAGGAAAGCGTTCAGAGAAATGTGGGTACTGGCGCTTAGTAGTGCTGTGAACAGGATAGATGATTTTCTAACCGCTGACCTTAAGTACTCTGATTCCCACTTGGTTTCTGACACCATTCCTAAAGTTCTGACTCCAAGAATAATGTTGCTGAACGGTGATTGGCTGACGGAATGATGTGATGTCTTCCAGGGGCAGAACTTCTGGGAATAATGTGACTTGGAATATTTATGGGTATTTCTTTTGGTGTGCTTAAAATATTTCCATTCTTCCCATGTCCACCTCATAAACTTTTAAGTTTCCCTACCCCATAATTTGTTTTATGATGAGTAACTCAAAAAAGTGGGAGGGGCCCAACCCCAAATGTTCATTGACCTGTTTCAAGAATATTTATAAGTACTCGAACAACACATAAGTGTTTTGCCTTTTAGCAGGTTCAAATATATTTTTGGACTGAAAGAGACAAAATGGGTCAGAGGAATAGGAATTCTACATATAACCATCCAACCTTATGTCACAGTTTTCCTAAAAACTTAACCAGGTCATCTGATAGTTGACAAAATGAACTGCTCATAACAAAATGTTCCACAGCAGTTTTGGGGTCATTTCTGTAAAGTTTGGATAAAGCAATATACTGGGAAACAATCATTTCCCGCTGGGGTTACCTCGGAGTCAAAATAGTGGGACCAGTCACTCCACAGCCCACTTTTCAAGCAGTTTCTATTTTTACATTAAGTATTAATGATACATCTTGCCTATTTCAGTTCATTAGAAGTTTATCAAACCAACACTTAACACAAAGAGCCCAGTAAATTAAATGCTACCCTCCTAATTGCACTCCCATCGTTTAAAAATATTCCACCAAAATGTGCACATCTGTTTGCAATAGTTCACAAAACATTCCTCTGTTAATATCGTTATAAACCCTAACAACTCAACTAGAGTAGAGAAAAGAATTTTCTCATAACCACATGCTACTCAGACGGTTGCTATCCTTTTACTTTTCCTGTTAGCAGGAAAGGACTGCTATCACTGCAGCTCAGAATGGCTGTTGGACATTAATTAAGAATCCTAGCTGAAAAGCTCCAGAATATACTTTTTTGTGGAGTGTTCGTGCAATTTCCTTAAATATACTCCATTTTCCACTCTCGCTTTTCTCTGGTCTACTAAAATTCTCCCGCTGGATATAAAGACTTTATATCATATATTGCCATTCCTGAAACAAGGCAAGTATCTTAACCATGCTGTTTATTTGCTGGTAAAGTTGGAATAATATGTAAGTACATGTTCATTAACGACCTACTGTGTGCAAGGCATTTCTTCCCATAAAACTAAATCAAGTAAAGTAATTTATGAAAAGGTGCTCTGAGAAACACTAAGTTCTGCAGTTAAACCATGGTGTGTGTGTGTGTGTGTGTGTGTGTGATCTGCCCTTGAACTCTGCATTTCATCAAATTCTCCTAGTGGTAATTACATTGCTTTATTTTAATCCCTGGTTGTCCAAGTTTCTTCCTTAGAGTTTTTTGGGGCTATAATCATTTAAATTGCATGTCAAGTTATTGGAATTCCTCTCCTTGAAGTATATTTGTCTTTCTATCCTAGACTATATGTATGATAATATATGTGGTAAAAATATATATAAAATATATATGATAAAATATAAAATATATAGATGATAAAAATGCTATTTTTATACTTATTGTTAAGGACAAAAAGATAATGGAATTGAAAGGTAATAGAATAAAACTTTAAAATATCATCCCTGAAAAGTTATAATCAACTCCAGGTATTTAAAAGATTCTAGTTTTCCTATGGCAGGAAAATCTTCCCCAAATTCCGATACACATTCAGCAGGTGGTATCATTAGATTTGAGAATCAGTCTCTTTTTATCCTTCAAACCTGTGAAGTAACGTGTCACTCTGTGGACTAACACTGCTGTGGACTGAGGAATGGGAAGAGAACCCAGCAGGATCAAGGTCTCCCCATACCATTGACTCTCCTGGCAGTGATTCTTTTGCTAAAGGCGGTTTTTAGTTCTTCCTTCCGATTCATATCACCAACAGAGAATGAGTTAAAACTTGTTCCAGTGAGCTGGACTAACTATTCCATAAGTATTTGGTGAACATCTACTCTGTCTTCCATGCTTTGCAAATTGGCAACACTGTACGTGATGTCTGAATTGGTTAATGAAAGAAAAAGTTGGCCGCTCAGTAAGATCCTGAGCGAGAGGCAGCTTTAAATCACTAAGTGATGACTGTGAGGAATGTTGATCAGGTTTAAATACATAAACAGACATTCTTCGATTTTAGGCTTTCTTTGGACAATTTGTTTTGTTATTACCTAGCATTAACTGAGCTCTCTTTTTCTCATATCCTTCGAGCCTTTAAAATCTGAACAAAAGTAGGCAGATTGCATTCATTTGAACATTCATTTGCCTGGAGACATTTGAAAGAATTGAAGTCTTTGTGAATATCAAATGCCATAAATTTAAGCAAATAAGCTTTTGTGCCAGACTTTATTATTTTGTGTGTGCCATACTTTATAAATTGCTTTATCATGGAGAGGTATCTTTTGCCCTGCGTTAATAAGAAATAGACATAGCTACTTGCTTCTAGGTTTTGTGAATTCACAAAGAGCATATGTGCTCTATTCTATAAAGGACAGGCTTTAAATATTATTCTGTTTATTATTTTAAACACTAATAAGTATCAAATATTGCACAAATCAATACCATATGCTCTCACTCAAGGTTGCAAATATTATAAATTGTCTGAAATATTCTGTCTCATTAGATAGTTCAGAAACTTTAATTTGTTAGGAAACATAACATTCCACAAACATGTCCGTGCCAGGTTTAGTATAAAACAGCAAAGCATAAACCCGTCATTTTATAGTTTTGATAAGAAATGTAAGTGGAATTTAAGCTGTGAGGTTTTTCCTTTCTTTGGTGAGATTACACACATAATTTCCAAGTTATTGAATGGACAGATCAATTTGTCATTTTACCCAGCATGTTGACAGAACGTCAACGCTAGAGCTAGTCCTGGCGATTTATTAATCTGCTCTGCCATCCTCTGGGGATTGAAGGAAGCTGTGCTGACTAGCCTGGTGTGTAAGAGATCAGAACCCTGAAATTCTTGAAATCTCTATATTGCCTTTGCACTGTTAGCCCCTTTTTTAAAATTTTCTTTCAACTCTTCCTGTACCCTCTTCTTCAGGGAAGGGGGCATTTATGTAGACTCTAATGTGTGCCAGGCAGAGGGCTCTTACAGATATATGTAATTTCATTTAATTCCTCAGTCTGAATAAAGCAAACTCAGCACTTTGAATTGAAAAATTACATATATATATTATCCCTTTTCTACGTTAGGATGGTGCTATTACTGATCCATCAAGAATAGGACATATGTTTCGGATTAATTTTCCAGAAGGGGGGGAAGAATGTGCTGGGAGCCACCACACTCTCCAGCCCCTTTTCCTTTTGACCAAGTTAAGTTGATTAGTCAGGGTTTCTCATGTGGTCTGTGACCAAAGGATAACATGGTCCCCCCCTGCCCGCGTGAACCTAAGTGATCAAACGTGAGAGCCCTCAATTCCACAGATCTCATGCTTGGATGCCCGTTAGAGTCATCTGAGCAGCTTTAGAGAAGTGCCACTGCCTGGACCCCACCTCGGCCAATTAAATCAGAATCTCAGGGACTAGAGCACTGGTTATTTGTAAAGTTCCCCAGATGTTTCTATGCACTTGTGCACCCAGGACACCTGCCCTCTCCGTGCTTCTCAAATCTTAATGTGCATACCAGTCACCTGAGAATCTTATTAAGATGCAAATTCCGATGCTGCGGGTCTGGAGTGGGGCCTGAGAGTCTGCATTTCTCACGAGTGATGTCGGTGCTGCTGGTCCATGAAGCACACACTCTTGGTGTCAGGGACACGGAGGGACGCGTGAACATCCTCACACCCAGAACTGAGCAAAGACATAGCAATAAAAGCAGTTTCCCTCTGTCGCCTCAGCTAAGCCCCGATAACAACATTAGCCTGGTCCACCACTTTCAGTTAGACTTGGAAATGCTTGCTCTGCAGGGTCAAGAGAAGGACAAAACACTTGAACCCTGAAGCAACTGTAAAGAGCCTTTATGCTCAAAGCTGTCATTTTTGTGCAGGACTCAGTAGACCCAGAAAGTGAAGTCATGAAGTCAGTCGTGCTTCGGTTGTTGGGTAAAACCCTTCATGGATGGTATTTAATACCATTACGTTGGTTTCAGGCTGTCGCCAAGTTGATGTCCGTAGATTGCCGCTGTCACGGAGTTTCGGGCTCCTGCGCTGTGAAAACGTGCTGGAAAACCATGTCTTCTTTCGAGAAGATTGGCCACTTGCTGAAGGATAAATACGAAAACAGTGTCCAAATCTCAGACAAAATAAAGAGGAAAATGCGCAGGAGAGACAAAGACCAGAGGAAAATACCGATTCGCAAGGATGATCTGCTCTACGTCAATAAGTCTCCCAATTACTGTGTCGAGGATAAGAAACTAGGGATCCCGGGGACACAAGGCAGAGAATGCAACCGCACGTCAGAGGGCGCGGACGGCTGCAACCTCCTTTGCTGTGGCCGAGGCTACAACACCCACGTGGTCAGGCACGTGGAGAGGTGCGAGTGCAAGTTTATTTGGTGCTGCTACGTTCGCTGCAGGAGGTGTGAAAGCATGACTGACGTCCACACTTGCAAGTAGCCCCTCCATCCAGCGTCGAGCAACGCTGCTCAGTTACAGCCGAGGGAGTGTCGTCCAGAGGGTGCCTCTCACCCTGCAGGGCTGGGGAAGCGGACTCGGCCTCAGAAGCCCCAGACCCTCATGCCTCTCGCTGAGCCCCCTTTACCTGCTGGATATCCAATCGCACACAGAGCATGTGGATTTTGGGGGGATGCCAGAGTCGACCAGCTTTGGGTTCATCTTTTCCTGGCTTAGAAATATATATTGACACACCAGGAAGATAATCTGTCTCCTAAACAAGACAGAACAGGAAGCAGCCTTCACGCAGGGAGACCCGGTCCATACTCAGGATAAGATCCTGGACTGTGGAACTCAGCTATGAAACTCAATAGTGGTGGGTGAATAGTAGGCATTTTTAAAAGACACCTCTTCTAGCAGAAAGGAACAGTAAACATGATCTCATTTATTCTCTCAGTATTTTAGATGAAGAAGTCATACTGTTTGTGCATAGAAACAGACGCTGAGAAGTTAACAGAAGTGGTGGGTGCTTACTTACCCTTTCATGCCTTTTAAAAGGAAGGCAATTAAAAAGAATTTTCATAAGTGATACAGTACCCCTAAAAAGTGTTTGCTAGAGATGTTTAGTGACAAAAGGGAAGAATCTAAACATTAAAAAGTAAAATGTATGGTTTGGATTTTAAGTGCCTTTTAACTAGGAGAATTTATCTAGAAAAAGCTCAGATATACAGCAATCGTTTTTGGCTTCATTTTTTTTTAAATTTAAATTTAAGTTATTTAACATCTACTGTAGTTGGCTTCATTCTTTAATGGTAGACCAATTTCTACCATTAAAACCCCAGCTTGGAAATAATGGGGACGATAGGGATCTTGAAAGCAGGTGGGAAAATTAAAGGTAAAAACATAAAGGGCTCTCATACATTGTAAGGGAAAGCACCTTTTAAATGTGTAAAGACAGTATTTTGTATAGCATTTTGCTAAAAAAAAAAAGTTATATATTTTGTAAATACAGTATTTAAGTTATATGATATATATTAAAACTTAAGACATTTATTGCCAAAGCCCAAGAGCTAAGGCAATAAAATTATCTCAGAAATAAGATTAGCTTCTGTTTCTTTTCATACTATTAACTCTTTTTTTAAACGTTGAAAAAGAAGTTGAGTAGTTAGTTATATGGATGTGTTTTTCTTGTCAAAATGACAGATTTCCATGTTATAGATTAAAATATGCTGCAAAATATTGAGAATTGTGTTATTTCAGCAGATTAGTTCAATTCTGCTTTTAATTAGTTGTGCTTAACTTGTAAGGTTATTATAATAAATTATGCAGTAAAAGTGTTAACGGATAAAAGAATCTAAATCAAAATAATGATCAATTTGTGGATTTGATATCCTGGATATTTATTATATTGTATGTAATGCTGCATTTCCATGTGAATGTTGAATGGTCTTTCTAAGTTTAGTATTCATGCATGTATATTCATCATATTTTACAAGGTTCCTGTTTAAAAATTACATGGCTACATTTAAGGCTGTGTTTAAATGTAGACGCTTATGTTTTTTATGAATTGTTAAACATTTCAGTATTATGTAGGAAAAATTTCTAAATTCAGAAAGGACAAAGAAAGAATTTTCTTTTTCTTATAGTAAGCTAAAGAAATGTTTTCTTGCCCACAGGTCTCATTCTATTGCCTTTCTATTTTATTTACCAAGGCAGAACAATAATGTGTGAAAAACAGCAAACCCATGGAAAATATCTCAGGCCTGCCTATTATTAAATTCAAGGCAAAACATTTAATTGTGACCCTTAAAGTTTAACAAAAAAATATTATTTATAAATGAAAAACTCAGAAATGACAATTGAATAAATATAGCACTTATTTAAAAGAGTGGTTTATCAATCTTTAGCATCCACTGATTAGAATAACCTGAGAGACACTTATTTTCATGTCTTTTTTTTTTTTTGCATAGTAAATCTATTTTGTCTGCATTGAAAATAAGCACTTTTTTTTTAAGATAAAGAATAGTTCCCATTAACAACCAATTTGCTCTATTAACTAGAAATCTTTTCGTAATTACTTTACCAACCAATTGGAAAAACCAGACAGCCTCTAATTCCCAAATACCTGGTTACAATTCAGCGGTTGCTGAAGATGGTGATGCCAACTCAGACTCTCCTCTCTGGGATGCCTGAGCAGGAACTCTTAAGACCCACGCTGTGTCTCTGGCTTCTTCCTTTACTTCTCCTCCCTGGCATCACCACGGAAGCCATCCTTGAATTTCTCACCCGTTTTACTGAGCTTGGACTTGGCTCACTTTCTTCCCACTCTCCATCATGGTTGAGGTAGCACCATGGTGCTCTTGGGAATACAAGTTGTGAAGCCCAGATGGTCCTATCCAGTCTGGGCTATTTTGCCCACGTTATTTAGGGCTCTTTATGTTACAAGTCACAGAAAACGCAACCCAGACTGACAAACAGTAAAGGAAATGTACTGACTAGGTAACTGAAAGTCCAGAGTTGTGACTGGTTCCGATAAAGCTTGATCAAAAAGTTCACACTGTGCTCCCATGGTTCAGGTCTTTCCAGCTCTAGCCGAAAACAGTCTGGCTTCTGCAGTGTTGTCGTCTACTTCAGGCCCCACATGGTGGGGTGGACCCTCCCCGCCCCCACTCTGCCCCCAGTGGCCTCAGGCTCTCCTCTTTTCTTAGCAACATGGCTGCCACACTCCCCCCAGACCTCACCTTCTCCTACCACTCATTCTAAGGAAAGAGAGAGGTTCTTTTTTGGTTGCTCCCATAGGAGAGATGGAGAACTTTGTTTTTTCCTTCTTCACAGAATGCCCAGCAAAGGTTCTTCTGAGTCTCATTGGCTCCAGTTGGTTAATGTGTCCATCCTTGAACCAGTCAGAATGGCCATTGGAAGTTGGAGTTAGGGGATAAATACACTGACCATCTTAAGGTAATCAAGACCCATGCCGAACCTGGCAGTGGGGTCAATTCTAACGAAACCCACATAGCTTGAGAATAGGGAAGGGGTGAATCCGCAGAGGAAAACCGGGATGTGATGTTACCATTAAAGGGTACGTGGGTGCTGGGCAGCACAGACGTAAGCTGTCCTCAGCTCTAGTGATGTGTTTTGAAAACAGCTTTCTGGCAGCACTTGCGTCAGGCTTATAGCCACACAAAGTGCTGTGGATTATGTATAGGATACAAAGTGCCTTCATTTGTTTAAATGCCCCTTATGACCTTAGGCGTGTAAAAGGGGAGGAGAGGTGATCTGGTGTATTAATTTTACACTTAGGAGTTCAACTATTTTATAAATTGGGAACTGCCTAATAGAGGCAGCGGTAAGAGGCAATGATGATTGTCTAAAAATGATATCAAGAAAAACATATCAAATGGCATTATCTGTAGCCTCTGGATAAAGAAGTTTGCTAATTAAAACATTTCCCTGATAGCAGTATTTTACAAAACATTAAAAGCACTTGAATGTGTTTGACTCTAAACAACTGCATTATTTCCTTATTCACAATCTGGATGATAGTTGTTTTTGTTTTTAAACAAACTATGATAGTTGTATTTAGAATAATGATAGAATTCAATTATATAAGTTAGATACTTGGACCCTGTATGTTTTTGCAGCTTTGTAATCATGTGACAGCCACAGTAGGTATTTCTGAAACACACTTTAACTTTCTGAAGTACTGTCAGTCCTGGTAGGTTTGGGTTTTCACTTAGTTTAAAATGTGGGACCAGAAAAGCTTTCCATCAGCATATTGTTTGATAGGCAATTGGATGAGCTGCTGGTACTTGTTGCATCCCATCCCAAAGTCCACTAAAGACTGCAGAGTCAAACCAACCATTTGGAGTCCGTTAGTCCATGATCCAGAGCACTGTAATCCACTTAGCTGACTTGCAGAAGAAAAATTCAAATTCTATCTCCAGGAACCATGAATACTGCTCAGGACAAGCCCTTCTCAAGGAAAGTTGGCTAGGAAGCCTTGATTTTTTTCTTTTTTTAAAATTTCACTCTCACTGTAGACCAGATGTGATAAGTCATAACATTTCTTGGAGTAGGGTGATGGGGTAAGCTGAAGGACATAAATGCATGTGGCGCAGCAGGAAAGGGGGACACAGAGGGACACCAGGGACTCATTTCCTTTGAAACAGAAAATAAGAGCAGACACTTAGATAGCGCTTACTCTATACCAGGCATTGTTTCCAGTAACTTCTATGTATTAATCAGAATCTGTGCCCTTCGCCGCCATGTAATATTGTGCCTCACGCAACATCAAAATTGTCACAACTGCGTTTACAGTATACCATTTAAAGAGTTTTTTTGTATTTGTAAATATAACAAAAATTACAGGATGTTCCTTCAGGGTTTGGCTGTATAAATGTGGTTGAAGCACCGTAGAGAAGGATGGAAGAACTGAGATCGTAGAATTCACCATGAAATAGAATTAAAAGACACTGCCTCTTGATTTCTAAGCTCAAAGTGATTTGAACTCCCTGCTATTTTATATCCCAGTGTGGTTAACAGTTGGATTTTGCCGGAGCCTAACAATCATTCCAAAAGGAAAAGACTAGGGGTAAAAATCAAACTAACTTAGTGTGACATTAAATAAATACTTACGTCCTTTTTATTGTGCTTACAGCCAATTGTTGCATAAAGTGTCATTTTTAATACATGGATGAATCTTACCATTGGTAATGATTTACATTCATACCCAAAGCAAAACCACTAGAGGTGGTTTGCATGATTTAAAAAACCTTTTGAAACAAAATCAGGATCAGAAAAGCAGCCTCTCCCACTGATTATAAAGGAAAGTAATAATAAATGTGGACCAAGTCAACACAAACTATAGTTTCGTATGTGATTTAATTTGCAGAGTAAGTGGAAGCATCTGATTGGTGTGCAAGAATGGAAAAGAGGAACGAGTGGGGGACAGAGGGCTGCCCGGTTCTCTCTGTCCCAGTGCTGTTCTGAATCCTCGGGGAGGCTCACCTCCAAACGGGCCAAGGAGCCTTCCCCTTTGCATGCTAGTAACAATCAAACCCTCGTAATCATGCCCATACCCACTTGGTCAAGTTTAGCTAAGAAGGAAGGGTGGCCTCTTGCAGCCCCCAATTATTCTTTGACAAAAGAGAAATGTCACCAAAATTAACCGCACATTTAAATACTCGAACTCTTCATTAACTAAACGTATAAATATACAAAATGTAAGTCAGTAATCACCTTTGTTTCTAGTACATAATCCCTACTTTTTTTTTTTTAAAGTGGTTTTTTGTAAGTTGTATCATTTTCATTTTCCCTCCAGCTTTACTGAGATATAACTGACATACAACATTCTGTAAGTTTAAGGGCCTGTCCACTGAAGTTGCTTCATCTCAAGCTCCCGGGCAGACAACCAACGTGTGCTCCATATAGGTTTGTACGAGGCAAGCCAGCAAAATGGAAACACTGAAAAAGTGAATGTGATAAAACCTCTTCAACATGCCCCCTATTTAATGGGTACGGGCTGAGTGACTTTACAAGCTGAAAAATAAATTTCACTACTCAGAATGAGAAGTTCCCTCCTTTTGCTGGTTTGAACACTTCTTCCTTTCCCCGGATGTCCACTTTATCATTTCTTGAGAAACTAAACTTTGTCGATAGAGAACTACAATCTCAAATTTCCAACTGTCACAACTGTCATTGTGTCCATGTCCAACACACCTAAAGCTGTAGAATTAGAGGGAACCTTCCTTAAACAGACTATTTCCGTAACAGAATTTTAATGTACCCTTGTAAGGTGTTAACAGTTCCACAAGAATTGGCTTCCCACCTCATTCCTGGGCCAGAAGTTTCAGATTTCTATAGAAGTACAAGCTCAGGTGATTATTGGAATTGCCAGTGCCTGGAGAACCACAAAAGCCCGAATTCTGTGTGTGAAAAGGAGTTTGGTTGGTGT